AAGGTACTGAGTTCAATCCCTGGTACCAAAAAAAAAGAAAGAGGATTAAATTTTAACATCTCACTTTCCTTTGTGAGCAGATCTAACTGCTCAATATTTCATCTTCTGGCAAGTGCCAAGGCCTGAGTTCAATCCCCAGTCACACACACACACACACACACACACACACACACACACACACACAAAATCACCTTCCTATTCCTCTGAGAACTTCTAAAGAACATTTACTTAGAATAAAATCCATCCTGGGGCCAGGGAGATGGCTCAGTAAAATAAGTGCTTCCCTGGCAAAAGCAAGGGCCTGAGTTCAATCCCCAGTTCCACAAAAAAATAAAATAAAAAATAAAATCCATCCTTTTAATTCCGTAGTAAATTAAGATACAGTGATCTTACTTCTTTTATCTTGAAACATTTACTAATTCATTACCATCCATCTCAGTTATCCCATTTACCTACTGAGTTATCATGTTTTACTATCATTTTTTCAAACGATTAAAACAGAAGAATGATGGCCACAAAGAAATGAATAGCCATTACTCTATCATCCTACAAGTTTCTTGCTGCATAATCTGAAGAATTACATTCCTTTAAAAAAAAACTGAAGACATAATCTTTGTTAGCTGCTTCTGACTGTTTCTGAAGGGTAAAGAATCTGAAATCTGTTATTTTCCACTTGAAATTACAAAGAAGAAAATTTACAATGAAATCACTAGATTTCATTAATCATTACAATGATTACTAGAGAAATCATGCACTCTAGATCTGATTGACAGATCTGAAATTACAAAGCAGTACTTCATACTATGAAGTCTTCAGAAGACAACCACCTATATTTCTAGGAAGAAGACAGACAGAAGATACAATGACTTAAATCACTCAACTGGAACATCATGTAAAATCCTTTCAGAACATACAGCAAAAATGCAGTATTTTTTCATCTTTTTCTATATCTATGCATCAAAATTTACTTTGTAAGTACAAAATTGCACCAGGCAGTCTATAAAACTGACTTGAAAAACACATACGATGAAGAAATACAGCCCAGCATGACGACAGAAGCCTGTAATCCCAGGACTCAGGAGGTTGAGGCAGGAGGATCGCTGTGAGTTCAAGGCCAGCCTGGGCTACACAGCAAGCCTGTCTCAAAATGTGTGTGTGTGTGTGTGTGTGTGTGTGTGTGTGTGTGTGTGTGTGTTAGACACAGACAGACAAAATCACCAATGGATGAGTTAATCCAATTGGTTATATACAAAAATAAGCAAGTATCACAAAGATGGCCATGCTTTTTAATAATTAGTGCCCACCCAGTTCCAAAGTATTTTTCAAGTACTGTATTCTAATGACATACTTCTAATATAAAACAATAACAATACATCTTTTTTAGGTATTTAAATGTAACTATTGTAAGATGTGTATACTCTATCATCAAGTATGACAAGGGCCGGGGAGATGGCTCAGTGGAATAAGCACTTCCCTGGCAAGCTCAAGGGCCTGAATTTAATCCCCGATTCAACCAAAAAAAAAAGTATGACAGCTGCTGAGTGGTTAAAGAAATGTATTCACTTAAGGTTTAAGCATTAACATCCAGAAAATACAAAAATAGTTGAATTAATTGGAATTAATATGTTACAAATGCTAAAAGTTAAACTTCCCTTTTAGTGGGTGGGCATGCTGGCTTTAATTTGCTAAAGTTATGAATTTTGAAACTACCTAAACCTTTTATCAAAAAATACCCTTCTGAGGGACTGGGTGTGGTGGCGCATGCCTGTAATCCCAGCCTTTGGGAGGATATAAAC